GCCTCTTCCTTCTTCCTAGTCTGTCTCAGTCTATAAGGTGGGCTGTTACCTATGCACCAGGTGCATCTCTCTGGGTTTTAAACACCAGAGGCTCAGCCTCCAAATCTCACGTCTATATGTCACCACAGTAGGACAAACTGACACACAAGTTTGTCCTGCTGCTGGAGACCTCTCGTGTCACCCCCACCTGGCTGATTGTTCCTCTGTCTGGCTTCCTGGCTTTTAATCCCCTTTCTCCTGCTCTTCTGGCCTGCTACTCTGGCGACCCTGCGTTGTCTCTCCTCACCTGTAAGCCTGGGGCTCAAGGCTTTTATCCCCTTCCCTGCTCTTCCGGCCTGCTACTCTGGCGTCCCAGCATTGTCTCTCTTCGCCTGTAAGCCTGGGGCTCAAGGCTTTTATCCCCTTCCCTGCTCTTCCGGCCTGCTACTCTGGCGTCCCTGCGTTGTCTCTCCTCCATGACTGAATTAGTTCACAAAAATAGTTCTTTTTGTTAACTGGGTAACTAATCAAATATGGATCCTTGGTGGTGTAATACCTAAGGCATTTGACTGTTAAACAGAAGGTTGGTGGTTCAAACCCACCAGCCATTCCATGTAAGGAAGACTGGACAATCTACTTACTTAAAGATTTACCACCTCGAAAACCCAAAGGGGGTCACTGTGAGTCGGAATCAACTCAATGGCAGTGAGTCTGGTTTGGTGGTGCGATGGTTAAGGACTTGGCTGCTGACTGAAAGATTGATGGTTTGAGCCTACCAGTCACTCCACTGGGGAAAAGACCTGGTGATCTGCTCCCATAAGGATTATAGCCTAGGAAACCCTATGGGGCAGTTCTACTCTGTCCTATAGAGTCATATATGAGTTAGAATAGACTCAACAGCACATCACAACAACAACAACAACAATCAAACATTACACTGACCCTCCTGTGTACTAGGTACTCTGCTAGCGTGTGGTTTTTAAAGATTATTAAGACATGATCCTTACTTTTGAAGAGCTAAGAATCTAGTGTGGGAGTTATATATGCAGTTGATTCTCATTTTTCATATTTTCAATTTGCCTACTCCCTTAAACTTATTTGGAAATCCAAAACCAGTACTTGCAGTGCTGTCCTTGTCATTCACAGACACATGCAGAGTGGTGAAAAAATGAGTCACCTGATGCCGTAGGTTCCCAGCTAAGGTTGAGCAGGGTGATCCTCTGCCTGCTTGTTTCAGTTCTCATTCTGTAACTGTGTCCTTTTTGTGGTCTATTTAGTTCCAAGTTTCTTCATTTTTTGTTGGTGATTTTTCTGGTTATAATAGCCCTCAACTATAGTGCTGAAGTACTCTTTGGTATTTCTAAGGACAAGAAGGCTGCCATTTACCTCACAGAGAAAATATGTGTGTTAGATAAATTTCATTCAGGCATGAGTTATAGTGCTGTTGGCTGTGAGTTCATTGTTAATGAATCAACAATGTATATTAAATAAGGTGTATAGATACACACATAAACAAGGTTATGTTTTGATATGTTGACAAGACTATTGCAACCAGAGGCTCCCAGGAACCTAGGCTTGTATTTCTCCTAGGAGAATGGTTCAGTATTGGCTAATTTAGTACTTGTGGCAACCACTAATAATGAGAGTTTACTGTGTAAACAAATGATACAACATAATTAAATGCTGTAAAAGCAGCATGGCTTAGGAACTGGATCAAATGCTGTAGGAGCCTAGAGGAGAGCTTACCTATCTTTGCTTTGGGAGTTTTTAAAAGATGACATGTGAGGAGATCTTAAAGGATGATAGTACTTTGTCAGACAGTGATGCTATAGGAAAGTGTTTCAGGAGCAGTAATGAACAAAATGGATAAAAAGAAAGATAGTGAAGTCTATTGAGGGAGTTATGGATAGTTCTGTGTGGCCAGGGTATATTGATTATGGGAGCAAGTAGAGGAAGGTAAGACAAAAGTGGTAGGTAGGGGTCAAACTGTGAGGGGTCCTTATAAGGTATGATAAGGACTTTGAAATTCATCCTATAGGCACTGAGGAGGGGATTAAGCAGGGGGTTATTTGTATAGGTCCAGTTTTTAGTTCATGAAGGTAGCTCTTTCAGTTATAATAGTTCAGTAACAAATGATAAAAGCCTGAATGAAGGCATGGCAATTAGAAGGGAGATGAGAAGATCTATCCATTAGACGTATCAGATGTAGAATTGATGGGATTCAGTCACTAGTTGAGAATGGTGGGTAGATTTGATTTCTTTGTTGGAGAATAGATGGGTGCTTATGCCATTTATGTAAGGGATAAAGTAGAAAGGCAGGTTCTGGTGAAGAACAAAATAATGAATTTGTTTTTGGACATACTGAATTTGAGATTCCTGTAAGAATATAGGTAAAAATGATTCCAGAGCTTAGAAGGGAGGTAGAGGTTAAAGATCAAGGTTCAAGAATCACTAGCATATTGCTGCTGAAAACCATTACAATGGATAAGATTACCTAGAAAGAGAATATAAGGTAAGAAGAGACAGACAAGGACACAATCCTGTGGGGGAAACAAACAAACAAACTAACAACAAACAAACAAACAAAAACCCCTCTCAGCATCTTACAGGGAGTCAGAAGAGGAGGGAAGTCAGCAATGGAGGTCAAGGAGGAAGAAAAGGAGAACCAAGAATGAGGCCATGGATACAAAAGAAAAGAGGAGTTATGGAGAGTTATGAGAAACAAGATCTGCGAAGTGCCCATTATATTTTTCATTATGAGATGGATCCAATACGTCCTTATTGAGACAAATGGGCTAGTAGATAGATTGCAGAGAGGTAATGGGAGAAAAGGAGGAGAGGATAGTAGAGGCAGGGAATATAGCCTTCTCTTTTAAGTAATTTATTTAAAAATATAGAGGAGGGAATTGGAGAGTGATTCGATTTGGAGATTTGTCTTCTGTCAAATTGTGCAGAAGAAGGGCTGATAAAGGGCAGATTGTGTTTTGTAGAATTGCTAACCTACATCTTCCAACAGTATTGGACATTTGAAAGGCTATCAATTAATTCTTACTAAATGAATGTTTTGGGCAGTCTTCTTCCATAGAGATACCACCTTGGAAACCCAAGGAGGGGTCGCTATGAGTCAAATTGACTTGACGGCAGTGAGTTTAGTTTGGAAATGTTTTAAATATTCTTATCTTTTCTCTGTCCTGTTCCTCTAGTGACCTTACTTATTGTCTCTGGATTTTTTTAGATTGATCCTCTGTGCTCTTTACCTCTTTCCTGACTTGTGACTTTGTACAGTGCCGACATTCTGTAGCTAGATATAAGCACAGTCCTTTGCAATGTCATTCATGGAATCATTAGAAAAAGCATTCTACAAGCCATCCATTCTGATACCCTTGTATAAGACCTAATTTAATTTGAAAAGTAACTGCTAGTGAAGAATTACTATCTTTTCAAAACATTTAACGTTCATAGATATTTGTAATTGTTCAAAAATTCTGTGATACTGGAAGAGACACGCAAATCTTGCTGCTGTGTGTCCTGAAAAATTAGGGGGCTGAAAAGTTCAGAAAATCCTCTGAAGAGAAGTGGTTAGTTATTACTGTCTCTAAGGGAACACCAGAAAGTAAGTATAGAGTCTTACTTAGAAAACTAATTTGTCTTATTTTGAGTGCAAGACATATTTTTAGGGAAAATTGCACTGCTTAATATCTGTTAATAGTAATTTATTTTATTTCCAGTAATAGATAATGTTACATTGCATATAATTAAAGACTTCATGTGGACAATTCTATTTTTGAGTATTAAGTAAGAACCAGATAATTCTTTTTAAGTGTATCTGATCTGTCCTCATTGTAAATATCCACTTTCTTTTCCCCACCCAACTTGTTTTTTTCTCCTTTAGGTGATATCCCAATTATTCCACTTAATTTTGTCATGATATCCCTGGAGGGTCCATTTAACAGGGATGTAGTGGAAGGATGTGTGAAGGAGACGTTGCTTTTTTTATCGCGATCCATTTCCACCAAACAAAATGTGGAGTTTACATTCAAAGGAATTGGGGTTCTCATGATCAGACACAGCAAAGTGAAGATGAGATTTTACAAGGACTTTCTGTGTGCCATGGATGGAAGTGGGGCTTTGGTGAAAGCCCTAGCAAATGTAAATTAATGTTTTCCTTCTTCTAACCCTTCTCTCAAATTGTACTTCTAACTCATCTATGGGTGTGTCATCGTTAAGAAAAACTCAGGTTTACATATTTTAAAGGACAGTTTCCCCAAGTAAATGGAAGTGTTTGTTTATAGACCCTTAGATTAAAAAGAGTTTCTGGGAGGGTAAAAAGAGCTTTCAACTAAGTCTTGAGTCAGTGCCAACTGATGACTATAAATAGTAATAGAAATTATCATAATTCTGAGCATTATATAGTACCTTACAGTTCACAAAAGGAGTCCTGGTGACATAGTTTTTATACGTTCAGCTGCCAACCAGGAGTTCAGCAATTCAAACCCACCAGCTATTCTGTGGGAGAAAGATGTGGCAATCTTCTTCCATAAAGGTTATAGTCTTGGAAACCCTATGAAGCAGTTTTTCTCTGTCCTATAGGGTTGCTTTGAGTCAGAATTCATTCAGTGGCAATTGGATTATAGTTTACAAAGTTCTTCCATATATATTGCTTCATTTGAGCCTCAGAACATTATAAATTTGACATTATTACCATAATTTTACAAATGAGAAAAGTAGGGGCTCAGCTTATGTGGGAAGCATAAAATCAGAGGGCTAAGTGACAGAACTGGGGTTCAAGCCCTAACCACACATTCTTTTGCTGTTCCTACTATTATATTTCAGTGAAGGTCTACAAGAAAATCTGATTCAAGTCACAGAAGTCCATCTTTAGCTTTTAATTTGCTGTGTAGTGGAAGCACTTTCATAAGTGACAGCATTATTAATCATTAAGTAGCTGATCTGAACTCAAGTGACCTTCATGCTAAGTTGGACATGTTGTTGTTAATTGCTCTCCAATTCTGACTCCTGGCAACCCCATGTATGCAGACTAGAACTGCTGCAGAGGGTTTTCAGGGCCGTGACCTTTAGGAAGCAGGTCACCAGGCTTGTCTTCTGTAGCACTTCTGGATGGTTCAAATCTGTAGCCTTTTGGCTAGTATTCAAGCATTTAACTGTTTTGCGTTGCCCAACAACTCCCAAGTTGGACATAGCAGAGTTTAAGGAGGCACTGAAACAGTTAACAAGGATTTATTGAGTATTTAATATGTCTTAGGTACACCTTTGAGAGCTAGCAAAGTTGACATGAATGTATTGGATTATCATAGAATGGTGTATTAACTTGTGTCCCATAGAGCAAATGTCTGACTTTTAAATGAAAAGGTTACAAGTTCTACCCATTTCTCCTTTCATGGAGTTCTAGGTTGGGGATTTAGGAGGTGGTGTTATATGTAATGAGCCTCTTGGTGTTTTTTACACCATCACCATCTGGCATGATAGAGGATTGCTAAGGGTATGTCAACCCTGTATGTGGAAAAGTGGAAACACACAGGCATACCTTTCTTTTTTCCATGAAACCACAAGGCAAGATTTGCAAAACTAAAGCAATATCAAAGTGACTGGTCCATTTCTAAGCCTCAGGGATGAGTCTGCTGAACTTCATACTTCATATGTCTCTAAAAGAGAAGATAATGTTATACTTGGCCTGCTGTATTCTAAGAAAGAAGTTTTAAGGAGAATTTTTCAAAGAAACTGAGAGTTTTCTAAGAAAAAGATTTTGAAGGCCGAAGAAGATTGAACACTGCTGTTTATATCACCCTTGTGGACAGGAGCACAAAGCACATGAACAGTTAAAGGATCTGCAAAGTCTGTCAAGAAGCCATTTAACTGCCCAAAGGGAACCTTACATTAATTCAATACTCATAAGTATCTAATTAACATCTGTAAAACACATTTTGGGAAACTGCTATAAAGTGGTGGCAGTGATTGTTTTTCAACAAATGTACCTGAATGTGAACCTGAGTATGTCTTGTCCCACAGAGCAGTCTTCTTGGGAATACTTATTTCAGTGATGCTGCTTTTGCTCAAAACATTTTTAAAACCTCTTCCTGGGAATTCCCTTCAAAGCCCTATGTCAGCCATATTGTTAATCCATATATATATACATGTGTACACACACACACACACACACATATGTATGTATAAACATATATATATACATATATATGTATAAACATATATATGTGTATATATACATATATGTATAATTACCTTCATTGTGGTGAAAACATACACAACAAGACATTTGCCAACATAACAACTTCCACATTTACAGCTCAGGGACATTGATGACATTTTTCAGGTTGTGACATCATTATTGCTATCCTTTTCCAAAATATTCTACCACCTACTAGCATA